AGGAGTTCTTGGTTCCAGGATCCGGGTTCGAGACCTCATTTGATAAAGCTCAAGAGAGGAGCTCAGAGTCTTGATTCTGGACTCTGCTGGGCTCGGCGTCCTGACTCCTCCGCAGTCTAGAGAGGAACCACTTACAGATTTGGAAAACAGGTGTCTTGAAGGAGGCTAAGCATCAATAAACAAAGCAAGCTACCGCGGGACTTATCTTCGAGAATGGGGGGAGGGGCAAGGGGTAATGCTAAATACTCTGCTGGCATTTTCTTTCATAAAAATGCAATACGAGAGCATTTGGAGCATTTGATTTCCACTTTCAACCCCCCCCCCCTCCGGTCTCTGAAGACACTCAAATTGCAGCCATATGGGGACTAAGGTAATAGGAAGCAGTTACCTTATTTACTGCAGAAGCGGCGCAAGCCTTCTGCTAGGGAAAAAGCCGGCTAGCGGAGAAGTCTAGTCTGTATTCAGAGTTGTTTCCTTTTGGTTTGGTTTGTTTTAAACTTTCAGTGTCCCACCCCACTCCCACTCTTATCCGGGCCCTGACATTCTTTCACTTAAAGAGGGTAAAATCTTAATAGTAAATGAATGACTAAAGCAGATTTGGGTGAAAGGAAGATGAGGTGAGCTCAGAGGGAGTTTTGCTTGGTGGAGAGACATGAGGCAAGAGAAGTGCTGGTGGTTTGCAATTGACCAGTTCGGAAGGAAATAAATGTGGGCTAGTCAGAAAGCATCTGGTCCCAGGCAACTGTGGGGGAAACTTTGGCATTGCAAGATTAGAGTGGGAAAGGCCCATTTGTGAATCTCCCTGGCCTCCTGCACCCTGCCCTCCCAAGAAGCTTGCAGGAATCCTGGAATTCTGGATAGAGTCTCCTTATCTTGATCAACTGAGTTGTGAACTCATTTTCTTGAGGATTCTCTTTACTTTTTTTCCTTCTTTTTCTTTTCTCATCTTTCCTCTCTTCTTTCCTCCTCCCCTCCCTTCCTTTCTTCCTTTCTTTCTCTTTTCTTTTTAGCAAATTATCACCTTACTGCACCCCACTTCAACTCCCTGATACCTTAAAATGAACATCAGACTGGTCCTCTGGGGAAAGGGAGGCTAACAAGCTTCCCAAGCCAACTATTCTAGTCAAGAATCCAACTGCATTTCCCCACTAAGCAAATGAGGAATGTTGGAGATTTTAATTCCTGCAAGTGGTGTTTATTGGTACATATTTTGTGTATGCACTTTAAGTTCAGACTTCATCTGGAATAAACCAGATGTTGTTTGGGAACCAAGTGGAAACTCTCTGACCTTTGAGATAGTGAAGCCTCATTAAATGAACTTGTTTTTCCTAAACATTCTAACCTTAAAACTGAAGATTTTCACCTGAGTTGGCAAGGGAGAGAGGAAGGTAATGGGAAGTGGAGGAAAAGATGGGAGGAAGAGACAGAGACAGAGAGAGATAGACAGGGACAAAGAGAGACAAAGAGAGATAGACACACGATGAAACAGAGACAGACAGACAGAGACAGAGACAGAAACAGAGAGACAGAGACAGACAGATGGACAGAGAAAGAGGAGAGATAGAGATCAAGAAAAAGATTGAGGGAAAGCTATAGACAGACAAACACAAAGAAAGACACAGAGACAGAGAAAGACAGACAGACAGACACATACACACAAAACCCTCAGAGATAAACAGAAAGAAGCAGAGAGACAAAGAGACAGAGAGGGGCATAGGAACACAGGTAGAGAGAAGCAGAGAAGGAGAAAGACAGAGAGGTATAGAGTCAGAGAGACATATAGAGTCAAAGAGAAACAGGAAAGGAAAGAGGGAGAGGCAAAGAAAAACAGAAGAGAGAAGGGAAGGAAAGAAGGATGATGCAAACAGAGAACACTATAAAGACATAGGCAAGTGTATTTCAGTGCTTCATCTTTTTCTTAATAAATTAGTCCTACTGAGAAAGGGGGAAAATGAGTTAAGGAAAAGAAAAGGGATACAGAAAGACAGAAGGAAAGGAAGAGAAATAAAAGAAAAAAACAATAGGAAGGGAGCAAGCTTCTTCAATACGAAACTGAAACCCTCAAATTCTAAACGTAGCTCAGGAACCTCTAGGTCTCTAAAAGCTCCCAAAGCAAACATAACTATTAGGAGTAAGTGGCAGTAAAATCACTGATGGGTGAAATGCTGGGAAATACTATCTTAAGACAAATAACAAAACTCTTCGATTACCATTAGTTATGTGCGGGTGTGGGTGTGGGTGAATGAGGGTTCTCACTCCCTTTTGTTGGGAACTGTCCCTTGGCTGCAGAGAGAATCGACTAGTGGCCCGAACCCTTGATCCCAGGAGCAACAACCATAATGATCTGGTCTCTCTGGATGTAAATAATTCGAATCCAAAGTAACTTGATACCCAGAGCCAAGCCCCAGATCCCCATTTACTTGCCACAGTTGGAGGGGGTGAGAGATTGGGGAGGAGGGTGAGGGAGGGGGGGTTGAAATGAAGATGGTGGGCTTTCTCGAGGCGAGGAAACCAGAGACTTATAGGCTGTTGAGGTCTACTTTATTTTTACTGCCCAAACTGTTGGAAAGTATTTAAGCTTAAACAGAAACAGCTGTATCGCTGGCACCGTCCGTCGAAACTATTTGTAACCGTGAATGACTTTTTATGATTATGAACTTTGCTGTCTATTGGCCTCTCTCAGGCAACTTGTTTGGCTCCTAAAGGCGATTTTTACGCAATCTGCGTTTATTTCGTTAAGAGGGAGATATTTCAAGAGAAGATCCCAAGACCTAATGCCAAAGCCTTAAAGCCCTGGAGGTTAGACGATAAACCCAAATCCTTTTTATCTAAAGGCAGTGGGGAGTGGGGGAAGGAGAGTGTAGAGGAAGAGCAGTTCTGCGTTACCTCCTCCCTCCCCCATCCCATCTTCTCCATCCATACATCGTCTAGACCCCCTAAGACGCTTCTTGGATAGGAGTCGAGTTTTCCGCCTAGGGTTTCCTGTTCCATCTCCAAGTCAGTTGCGACGAGGTTTTTGTTTGTTTTGCATTTTTTTCCTAGTTTATGGGGAAAGAAACTGTTTCCACTTCAGTAGTTGTAGCTGTCTTATGTCCTAAAAAGTAGTTGTGTCTTTAAATATGATTAAGAAGAGGGGAAGGTGGGAAGAGAGCTCTTCTGACAGCGCCTCCCTCCCCGTCCCCCCCATCCTTACCTCAGAGTTTAATCTGGGAATAAAGAGAAGAACCGTCGTCCCGAGTGAATGTGTACCCCCCCTTCCTAAGTGCAGGGGTACGGTACCTAGCAAGCCTCGGAGAGAACGCCACTGTCAGGGTCCTGGACACTCCTGTTATCTCCCTACGTCTCTACCACTACCCAATGTGGGCAACAAAATACCAGGCGCCACCTCTGAGCTCAGTCCGCAGCCAATTCTTTGAGTTTTTCCTCCCAGCCCCCACATATCCCAGCCCTGCCCTTTATCCGAACCGAACGTCGAGAATAGATCGCTGCCGGAAACGCGCTACCCAGGCCAAACGGCTGCCGGTTCGGCGGCGACTTTGCTGGAGGCTTTGCAGCCCTTGAGCTTCGAGCAAGCGGGCCTCGGCTGGTGCCAATTGGCGAGCTGGCGCAGTCTCGGTGCAAGGCGCCAACTCTGTGTGCATCCGAGAGCCTGTGTGCAGCCGGGATAGCAACTCACGGCCACATTTACTGACCTTGATCCTACTCTAGTCTCCGCAAATTAATTCACTTCAATGGAAATTGGGGAATCGTGGGGGCGGTCTGGATTGGAATGAGGGTGGGGTGGAGAGGGAGCTTCGGGGTCGATATCAGGATTATATTAAAGAGCAGGGGGCAGGTGGATGGGAGTGAAAGGGGCCCTGAAGAGAAAGGGCGAGTTGACGTCGCCACTATAGCTCTTTAGTGGCAAAGAGAAGAATGAGGGGCAATTATGCGGATAATTCGAGTCCTCCACTTTTGTCTCAATTACCAGCGACGGTATCTGGAGCAATTGCCTGGAGTCTCAGATCCGTAGATTAGTGGGTGGGTTCGCGTGGAGGGGGGTGGGAGGGAGGAGAGACAGGTGCCAGAGGGTGGAGGATTCCTGGGAGTATTGGGGAGAAGACAGAGGGACATTGACTTGACTAGTGGGATGGAGATGGGAATGCTGTGTGTATGTATGTGGGGGGGAGACTGTTGTCATGGCGACGGAGGGTTGGTGCTTGGAGGGATGGAGTGGGGGGAGGGGCGAGGAGAGAGCCGAGGGGAGCGTAGTCGGGTGCTTGGGGTGTAACCGGGACCTTTCCCATTTTTGACACCTGTACATTGTGCATTGTGCAAGAGCTGCAGAGTTGGCGTCTGGGAGCAACCTCCTTGCTGTCTGCAGCGGAGGGGGCGGGGAGAAGGGGGAGGGAGGGGATCCGGGGGATGTAGGGTAGGGTTGGGGTCTGCGGAAGGGTGGGGGTCGCGGCCGAGACCACAGTGCTGTTCTCTGGGAATGACTGGGAACCCTTTGATCTCGGGGGAGGGAAACTTGGAGGAGGGGGTGTGTATTCAATCCAGTAGACCGGGAGGGGAAGGGACACCCCTCCTCCCCCTCCTCAGACTGACAGCAGCTGATTCCACCCTTCTTTACGTCACTTCCGCTCTCGGCCTTTTTCCCTTTCCCCCTCCCTCTTCCCTCCCCCCCTTCCACCCTGTCTCTAGTGTCCCTCAGACTCCACCCCCCCACCCGCAATTGGAACTCGGGTCACGTAGCAACGCGGGGGAGAAAGCGAGAGGGGGGGCGTAGCTGAGGCGGGGCGGACTCCACCTCGGCCAATCAGACGTCGGCGGAATATTCCACTGTCCTCTCCGCATTAGCGACGCCGTTAGCAACAAGTGGGGAGGGAGCAAGAGGGGGAGGGAGGCGGGAGAAGAAGAGAGGAGAAGGGGGAGGTTGGGAGCTAGCAAGGGAGAGAGAGACGAAAGGGGGGGAAAGGGGGGAAGGAGGTTGGGAGAGGGAGAGGGAGGGAGACCGGGAGAGGAGAAGGAGGGGGAGGGAGAACTGACGTAAGCGGGGGAGTATTATGGTCTGTCGTGCGCTGGCTGCTGCTTTTCTGCTGCTGGAAGCGGCCAAGGGGGTAAGCGACGAGTCAACATGGAGCTTTCTGCGGTCGGGGAGCGGGTGTTTGCGGCCGAAGCCCTCTTGAAGCGACGCATCAGAAAAGTAGGTGCTCGCAGGCCTCAGGCCGAGGCCCCTGCCTCCCCTCCCCTCCCCATCCCGGTGCCCACCCCCTGCAGCAGCGCTGCTTCCCTTCCCCCAGGTCCCAGCAGCAGCAGCAGCAGCCTCGGCGGCCGTGGCGGCGGCTCTGGCTCTGGCTCTGAGGCTCAGGCTCTTTCCCTAGACTTGCAACGATACACAGATTACATGGGTGGGGGTGGGGAGAAGGGGGACGAATGTATGTGCGTGTGTGTGCATGCAGTTTGTGCAGCATTTCGTGCATGGGGTGGCAGATGCACTGGGCGCATGCCTTGTGCACTTGGATTTCGCGCATTCATTTGGTGCATGCATTTTTTGCATGCATTTCTCCTGTTTTCGTCATGCATTTTTTCCTGTGCACACACATATTTTACCTTTGCATCCGCAGGGACGAATGGAATACCTCGTGAAATGGAAGGGCTGGTCTCAGAAGTAAGTAGGTTATATGTAATTCTTGGCCCTAGACTGTTATTAGGGAGATTTTTCTTCCTCTTTTTTTTCTTCTTCTTTGCATAGAGATACAAAAGAAAGTTGCATATAATACCCTTCTCTAGCTTCCTTCCCACCCCCTGGAACTTATTTTCCCTTCTCCTTGACCTTTTCATAGGTATAGCACCTGGGAACCCGAAGAAAACATACTAGATGCCCGACTTCTCGCAGCCTTTGAGGAAAGGTACAGGCCATTCCAAGCTCTCCGTGTCTCACTTAAAAGCATGTAGCTGTGGCTTTGATCCAGCCCGGAATGGGAGTTCGGATTTGTTTTCTTAACACCCCCTTCCTTCCTCCTCCCAGGGAACGAGAGATGGAGCTGTATGGCCCCAAAAAGAGAGGTCCCAAGCCCAAAACCTTCCTCCTCAAGGTAGGATGCAACAGCCAGTGGCTGGGAGGGATATTGTTGGGACAGGTAGGTGTGTATGGTGGTGGGAGAGTTCTCTAGGCTGGTAGACCGGTAGGGAGTTCGTAAAAGTATCCCGCTTCAGTTTCTGAGCTAACCCTGGGTCGGTTGTCATCCGGCAAGCAAAGGGTGGTAAGGGGAGGGGATTTGGGGGAGGGGTGAAGGGCCCAGCCCCAAAGCCATTGACATCCCTGTTTCTCTTTTGTAGGCACAGGCCAAGGCTAAAGCGAAAACCTACGAGTTCCGGAGCGACTCAGCTCGGGGCATCAGGGTCCCCTACCCAGGACGATCTCCCCAGGAACTTGGCTCCACTTCTCGAGCTCGGGAGGGACTTCGAAACATTGGCCTTTCCCCACCTGGGAGCAGTAGCAGCACCAGTACCAGTAGCACCTGTCGAGGGGACTCAGCTCGGGAACGAGAACGGGACCGGGACCGGGACCGGGGGACTGGGAGACCGGACGACAAACCTAGCTCCCCAGGGGATAGCTCTAAGAAACGAGGCCCCAAACCCCGGAAGGACCTTCGGGACCCTTCCCAGCGGACCTCAGGGGAGCCAGGGGACAGTCTTGGGGACTACCTCAAAGGGAGGAAGATGGAGGATGCCCCGTCTGGGGCAGGCAAGTTCACAGCTGGGCACAGTGTAATCCAGCTGGCCCGAAGGCAAGACACAGACCTAGCCTGTACCATGGCTAGTCCCAGCGGAGGTGAGGCCGGGGGCAAACTGGCTGTGGACACCTACCCACCCCGAGTCATAAAGCACAGGGCAGATTTTCTGGAGGCCAAAGGCCAGAGTGGCTTGGACTCTGGAGGCCCTCGAGTCCGACATGGCTCCGGCAACCCAGGTTCAGTTGGGAGCTTATATCGGGACATGGGGGCCCAAGGGGGTAGGCCCTCCTTGATTGCCAGGATCCCTGTAGCCAGAATCCTTGGGGACCCTGAGGAGGAATCCTGGAGCCCATCCTTAACCAACCTGGAGAAAGTGGTGGTCACAGATGTGACCTCAAACTTTTTGACCGTCACCATTAAGGAAAGCAACACGGACCAAGGTTTTTTTAAGGAGAAAAGATGAATTTCTGGAGGCCAGCCAGAGAGAAAGCAGGAGGGAGTGAGAGACAGAGAGAGAAAGGAAATTTGGCAGAGTACTTTTTATTTCTGGATGGGATCTAGCCAAAGCATTGATCCTTTCCTTTCACACCCCTCCTCTTCCTTCCCCAATCCATCCCCAATATTGGTTGGAAAGATTATCTCTAGAGTTATATTTTCTATTAGATGTAAATATGTTATTTAAGAAAATATCTAAATATATATATATTTCAACTCTTGAAGTTGTTTTATTTAAAACAAGAGACTCAAATGTGGATTAGTTACCACCCAGAATGGAATGCCACCCTGAAGACTTACTGAGCTCCAGGCAGGAGGAAACCAACATACAGACTAAATGATGGTTATACCCAATTCTGTCCTTTTGACCTTTTTGATTTGTGATGTTCTGATGCTTTGGAGTCACTGTGGACACTGAAAAGGCTGGGAGTTTGGGAGGGAGGGAAAAACCTTGTAAGTATGTGTACAGAAGTATTCCTGTAAAGCTGAGGGCTCCTTCCCTAAGACTTGGATTGTGACTAGAGGTGTTGCTAATGACATAATCCAGGTAGTGTGGCCAGGCTATCTTCTCAGACAACTAGGTGTGAAGAAGCTATATTGAAACCACAGCAAAGCACTTCCCTCTCCCCTTCTTCCACTGACCGGCTATGGTCATGGAAGAGCTTTTTCTTCCCCTAAAAAAAACCCAAAACAATTAGTCTTTAAAAGAAAAGGATTAAACATCTATTAGAGTGAAAAGTAATAACTTGAATTACCTTTTTTTTTCCTCCTGCTGATGAAGGTGAGCTTGGGGAGCAGGGGACATGTCCAAGGAACAACACTAGAAATGCACTTTATAGGAGATAAAGCATATATGATGCTCTGTGTGTATACACTCGCAAATATATATTATATATACACACACAGTATGTATGTATAATCTCTCTTTCCCTTGGTTCCTTTCCTTACTCCGTAAAACAACAAACATAATGTGTTTACATTCCCGAAATGCCAGGATAAATTGGGAGAATTGCCTGTCACTACCCAAGAGTGCGGGACCATCACTCTTTTGGAAGAAAAGTGTTTTGGGTTTAAACTCCCCCACCCCCTTCTCCGAATTTATCCTTGGAGAGAGAGGAGGACCCAACTCCCAGGAAAAGTATTATGTCTTTCTTCTCTTTAGGGATGCGGAATCGCCCCCGCCCCCCATTCCCCTCCGGCTTTCAGAGAGAAGTTGCTCTCACCCCACCCCCACCCCCGGCTGAGGCTCCCATTGCTCGCTCAGCTGGAGCGGGGTGGGGGCGGGGCTGGACGGTGGTGGGGGCGGTTGGGGAGGCTTCGCTTGTTCCGCGCCTCACCTTGCTCTGAACCTCGGGATGGAACCCCTGCGTTTCGTCTGGACTCAGAGCTGGGGGAGATTGTATCTTCGAGGCTCAGACAGGAGGAGGGGAAGAAGGAGAAATGTAGTGTTTCTATCCAAGAATGTGCACCAGAACTTTTACTGTTTTTTTTTCTTAAAAGCAAAAGCTATAATTTATAGGCTTTTTCGATTCGTGGAGTGTTCTCTATTTGAACTCTGTATTCAAACTCGGCCAAGGGGAGGGGGGGAGGGGAGGAGAAGCGGGGTTGATTTGGAGAACTGCTAGAGAGACGGAGGAGGGAAATGTGTATATACATACATACTTACATGTGTATGTATACATGTATAAGTATGTATCTATATCTGCATGCACGCATATATGCATATGTGTGTACATATGGGAGTATACGTGTCTATATATATATCTCAATATAGGCATATTTCAGAACTAACTGCGGCTCAGAGTCTTTAGATATTCGGTCATCTCTGTTGGTTTAAAAGCACAAACCTGTCCCACAATCAGTGAAACAGCGAATACCGACCCCAACCTCTCGTTCCCTTCCGGTCTGTGTCCTGTGCTTCCAGGACCAGCGAAGCCCAGAAATTGAGGGCTTTTTCTTTGGGGAACTTGGGGGCCCGGGCCGGGGTTGCGTGCCAGACCGAAGCACAGATTCAGGACTAGCCTGAAGTCAGAGAGGCTGGGATGGGGCGGAGAGTGGGGGATGGCTCCTGAGATGGGGCGAGTGCGGAGATCCTCTCTAGTCTCTTCCTCTTCCATCACTTGACCCCCTCCCCGTCCCCCACCTCTAGGCTCTCCTCTCTCCTCTAGACTTTCCGACCCTTGAAGGACAAAAGGGAAGACAAAAGTAATAGATGCAGTTTTGTTGTTTCGAGTTGAAAATTGCAAATTGCGCCTGTACAGAGGAGCCCCCCGAATGGGCTTTTTTACCTGATCATATTTGTAAAATTGGTCTTTGAAACTTAGTTTGTATAAAGAACCGAAGTGAGCAAGTGTATCTTCTTAAATGTCGATGCTATTTTTAGCTGAAACAAAACAAGGGACATGTATGTTACCATGTGTATGATAACTCGGAGATGCGTTGAGGTTATCTGATTGCCCCTTCCTCTTCTTCCCTTTCCCTTTTCCCCATCCCTTTTTCTTTTCCTCTTCCCTTTCCCCTTTCACTTCCTCCCTTCCTCCCTTCCTCAGAGCCCGAGTTTCTCATTCCCTGTACCCTTCATCACGCAAACCGGGTTCAGACATACCAGTGATTCAAGCCCTTCTGTCAGGCGTCTGTGTGTGCGTGTGTATGTGTGTCCAGTTCACACCGCTGTACTGCGATCCAGATCAGGGGTGAGGGTGGGGGGGAGGTTGGGTGGGGGAGGTGGGGAGGGATAAAGGGGAGCCTTATGTATGTAGGTCTCTACATATATGCTGAATGTGTGTTTGGTTTATTTAATTCTAAGATTTGTACAAATCTCCGAATCGATCTCCGCCTCAGAGCTAAAAAGTGAAACTTCGATACGTTATCTTCTGCAATTCTGAATGTCTATATCCAGTACCCGCTTTTTATGTGTTTAAATATATACTTTGTAAATAGATCATTGTCTCAGGTTTCTTGTCCCTCGGAGACTCCTCTTTCTCTACCCTTCCCCATTCCCTCCCTTCTTCTCCACGCTGGCTTCTGATGTCACCAAAGGCCCTTCCTAGTTTCGGGGAATCCCGACCCTGGAGAAAGGCCAAAGGTCTGCATTCCCTCGTTTCTCTTCTCTATTCTGGGGGACAGCGGCTTCCCGAACCGTTTTCCTGCACGCTACTTCGAGCTCTGATGTGGACCAGGCGTTAGAGGACTGAACAGATGTCTGAAGAAAGGGCCTCAGGATCTTTCTCCACTTTCTGATCAGCCTTTGGGTCCCTCTCCTTTAGGGCCAAGCTTTGAGTCACTGTTCTATCTCTCTAGGGATCTCTAGCATCCCTGATTTCAGAACCCTCTTTTTTTTTTTTTAAATCACTGGGCTCCAAATGGTCTGAATTTCTGGAAGTCTCAGGCCCATGGAACCTAATGATTCTCACATCATCCCTCCCTGGCTCCCGGGATTCCCTGTCCTACCCTGTCCTACAGGCTTTCAGCTGGAAACGTTTCCGCCCCTGATCATGCCTGGGAACCCCCCCTACCCCATAGGCCCGACCTCCCCAGCTCTCCCCGAAATGGAGCCCCTCGAGCCTATTGATTGAGGAATTTAATTCTCGGGTATTGCTAGGCAACTGCTTCCTCCTGGAGCGGAGGAGAGCTCACTGATATGATTAGTTAACCAAGAGCTCAGGCATCAAGGAGCAAAAGCTGTTGCCTCTTTCCCTCCTCTTGCCACTCCCACCCCCTGGAGCCACAACCACCCCTATCCCACCTGTCTTGACCTGGTGCCCTGAAGGTTTCAAATTCTGCAGCTCTTTTCTTCCCAGCTTGTGTGTGTGTGTGTGTGTGTGTGTGTGTGTGTGTGTGTGTGTGTGTGTGTGTGTGAATGACACAGAGAGACAGAGGCAAAGAGATGAAGAGAGACAGGGGCTGGAAGGGGGAGAGAATGGGTCAGGCAAAGAGAATACTGGATCTCCGGGTAAGGGATTATGAGACTGAGGGATGAGGTGCTGTTTTGGGATCTCCTGGGCCCTTAAAGTTTCCAGTATTCTTTGGACCAATAAAGATGTTGAGAGAGAAGATCTGCAAAGGGATAATCAAGTAGAATCCGTCTTTCCTAATAAATGAGACTTTTTGGTCCCAACACAAATAGCAACCATAGATAGATATTACAAAAGGCTTTTACAGTGGGAAGGGTGAAGGGTCATGGCATGTCTAAACTCTCAAAGATACTTTCCCCCAAGAGAACCAGATGTGAGGGAATCTTGGTAGGAGCCTTTTTTCCCCTAAGTTGACAGAGGATAAATAATATCTTGAGGCTGGTCCCCAAATCAGCTGCTTCCCATCCTTCCCAGGAAGAGTCCTGCCTGGGAGAGAACCAAAACTAGGATGGGAGGGTAGCAGACCAATTCAGGGAGCAGAAGTGAGACTGGGCCTTTAGGTGGGTAGGTCTTGAGACAATGTAATTGTCCATTTCCAGAAGGAAAATGTGTGAACTGACTTGGTCTATTTTTATGTTTAGAAGATTGAATTGTGGCTAAGTCCATCTCCTGTTCCTCAAGAACTGGGACCAAGCCCTACAGTCTCTGGTATTAGAATGCTTTACCCTACTCCTTCCTGAGACTTTTACCCAGTCTGAGTGATTTGTAGCTAGCTTTGGGAGGCACAAATTTACCCAGGACAGCACTGATGTGCTATGGTCCAAAGGGTCATGAAGAGTCAGGCACCATTGAACGACTGGACTACGACGAACAACATCAACAGATTTGTTTCTATGTCCCATTCTTTGAGAAACAAGTCAGAGGTGAAATTAAAGATATAGGGCTGGAAATAATCTATTCCAATGCTGTTTTTTTTTCAGATGGGGAAACTGAGGTTCAAAGAGGTTACTGTCTTTGCTCAAGGTCACACAGGGACTTAGTGGAGGAGCTTGTATTGAAATCAGGTCATAAGATCATAAGTTAAAAGTTGCAAGTTTGGAGGCCATCGATTCTAACCCCCTAATGTCCTAAGGAGGAATGGTGGGTAGTAAGTAGCAGAACTGGTATTTGAACCCAGTCCTTATGATTTCAAACCCAGTGCTCTTTCCACTGTATTGATCTGCCTTGTTGACTCCAGATCATTTGATTCCACACCCAGCAGTCTTTCTACTATACTATGATACCTCAATTAGTTAGGAAGTACTCTAACTCCCTCAAGCATTCTGCAGCAGTGGTATCTTGGGATGGGGGTGGGGATGTAAGGCACTTGAAAAATGTTTTTCAATGTGGAAAGAAGAAAATTAGAATGTGGAACAGATTTCCTCCTTAAACTTAGCAGCCGTGAAATCTAGACAGAACTTCCCCCTTCACTGTCTCCTAGGTGTTTTGGAGGCTCAGGCTGACTTACCTGCTTAGGTCCATTCCTCTAAGCTTTCCCTGAAAAAACAGAAGGCTTGCTCTGAGCAAGGTGTTTGATGTCCATTCTTTTCCTCAATGTCTGGAAGTTTCAATATCCTTTGCAGTTCCACCAGGATCATGGGGGAGGGCAGTGTATAAGGGGGTACTGATATTTGGGACCTTCTGCTTCCTGTAGTTCCCTAAGTCTTCCCAGAGCAGTTAAGAGTCCACATCGACTCCTATAGTAAAACACTAGAGATGCAAGGGAAATTATAGATCCTCTGAGGTGAATCCTCCCTTTCTGGTCCCCAAGACTTTAGGACTCAGAAGCTGCTCCATAAATACTGATTGAAAGGCCCTATGACATCAAATCAATCATGTTGAATTCTAATCCCTGAACAGCCACCAAATCACCTGATGTGGCTGTGAGCTAGTACCTTCTATCTGGGTTTTAGTTTTCTCCTTTGTAAAATAATGGGGGTGAATAGGCTCTAAGATCCCTTCCAGTTTGCAAAAAAGCATTAAATAATTCTAATTTTAAAAAATTGTATCCCTTCTCACTGAAGAGAAAACAACTACATGAGGGTAAAAGCAATGAAGGAATTGGCATCAGTTTGAGAATTTTTTTTCCCAGTTGTATCTGACTCAAAGTAACCACTGGTTTCAGAGGACATTTCCTCAATTCTCAGTTATTATAATATGCTATCAATTAATATTAAATAATAATAGCTTATATTTATGTAGTGCTTTAAGGTTTGAAAAATGCTCCACATACATTACCTCACTTAAGTTAGGAAAAGAAGAGTTATGGCCAGTATCCTTGAGCATCAGTTGGAGATTGAGAAAACCAGACTATTCAGAATCTGAAAGGTGAGAACTGGAAGAAGCTCATTGGTGGATAGCCCTACAATTCTTACTCAACTCCTCTTCCTGCTCATGCAGAAGAAAAAAGGGCCTGACCAATAAAATGAAGCTGGCTTAAAAATATTTATCCAAAGGGTTAATCACATGTCCCCTTCCCCCACCAAACTTCAGTCAAGTGCAGTCTTTACTGGGTAGAGCTGGTGGGATTTCCTATGGCTGTCCTATTGCGCCCTCTAGGGGGTGGAGACAGGCCTGCTATCCAACAACCTTTTCTGGGGAAGAATCAAAACACCCCAAAATTGACCATCACTACCAACACAACTCAGTACCACTTCCCATTTAAAGAATCTTCTGCGTTAAGATGAAACAATCCCTTCTACTCCCCTCTTTCATATATTAGTAATATTCTAGAGTGGTGGGGAACAGTTACACCCAAAGTGCCTTGAAGTAGGGAAAAGGGGAAAGAGGGGAGTAGTACACCGAATCCCCCTACACAGAGCTTCTGGGTACACACCTGTCCTTCTGGTATAAGATTGTGTCTAGAGTGGAAGCATGAACGATGGATGTCCCGAGGATTGGGGGCGGGGAGGCAGAAGGGAGCTGAGGAATGCCATGCCAATCTCTACTTTGCCCGTCTGGATATATAGCATATCCCCTCGCCCTTGGGATGCACTCTCTTCTATAGTGCTGACCCCATTCTTCTCCAAAGGCTAGCGGATTAGTTGATCAGATCAGTAGCGCAGAAACTAACAATGGCTAGTGTGGGCCAGCGTCATGTATCCCATCTGGCCCAGCTCTGGAGACATTGTTGAAACTGGGTGTCAGAGACTATTCCACGCCCAGAGCAGAGACTAGCTGGAAGCCTGTTGCTATCTAGGCAGTTCTTAACCTCTTAAGAGCAGCTTTTGGAAAGCAAATTATAAATCAACTTTGGCCTCTTCTTCGAGGTCAGGAGATAGAGGCAACAGTATTACCTAGCCCCATCACTACTTTCCAACCCCGTAACATTAAAATCACTGTGATTTCAAGTTCTCAGACTCTTTTCTGGCTGGGTTGGGGGTTGCATTCCAGTTGTGGTGTCGAAATCTTTACCAGAACTAAAAAATCCAGGCCTTTGCCCTACTAGCCATTCAACCAAACACCAGGCCAGATTTCCTCTTACTTCAAAGGAAGCTAGGTTATCCCTGGAGGGTTGAAATTTATGAATAAATTGATGCTGAGGGTAATACAAACCTTAATGGCTCAGGGAAGGTTATGTAATAAGCAAATCATCTCTTTATTATGGGCTATGGGTTAGTGGTAGCAGTCTTATAGCTTCACATGTTTAATGGCAAGTCCCCTGGAATTTAATAGTAGTGTCCTTTAAAAGCATTACCACATGTTGTATACTTAAGGACTGGCATAGCTGTTCAACATCATTCCAGTGTTTTTTTCCCCCTTTCTGTTTTAATTGTAAATAGCTTCTGTTCTCCATGCAGTTAAATACAGCTGTGGGGACAGAGATCAGAAGGGAATCCAATACATGATGAACCCTACCTCTGGCAATTCTTTATTCTCTTTTAAGAAGCAATTTTCCTACCCCAACAATGTGGCCAGCCTTCCAAGGGTGCTGCTCCCCACCCCCCCACTACACTACCTATACTCCAGGCTCAATTCACATTGGGAAGCAGAGGGAAAAGAAAAAGTCACTTTGAGGTTTTAGCTATCACATCTGACACACAAAATTGAAAAGTTAAATTTTTATTGATATACTAACTTATTAATAAAAAAGTTGTACAAAACCAAATGACACCATTTGCTAGCGTTTTCTTTCCCTGTAAAATAAATTAAGAGCAGTCTAAAAAAATATGTAATCTATGCTATAGTGTTAGTTTTCCCAAAACACTAGAAAACACACACAACCATGAGATGCAAACAAGAAAATGATTTAGGCATCTGAATACAACTTTCTCCCTAAATTCCCCAAACCACTATGGGCTTCCTTGGGGGTATGGAGGAGGGGGAACGGAAAGGCACATTTCCCCCACTAGTTGGTTTTGATTTAATATTTGGGCTGGGCTGCTGTCCTGTTTCAACAAAGACCTTAAGCTTTTCCATAGTAATAACATATCCACTTTTGTTCTGTTTTCTAAAAGCAAACAGCTGTAGTTTAAAGCAATTAGAAGTGGCATACATGAATGATTTGGCTTTTTCTTTTTTTAAATTAAGAAAAAAACACACACACAAATCAAGCCAATCACTGGCACAGTTACAAGAACAGTTCTTTCTTTTGTTCTTCCCCACCCCCCATTACAAACAAAATTTTCTTTTAACAAAACCTTCAGGCCACAGCCCTTCATATCTATCAGAATCTGAGTGTAACAAAAAAAAGAACACTCTTTTTGGTACAAAATATATATATATATAAAAATATATACGAAACCTCTAAGGAAGATGACAAAATTGACCAAATCTTCCTGTCTAATAAAAAATAAGAGGCAAAAACAGGATAAAGATATCCATTCAATATACAAATACTGTCATTAATTTGCTTAGGAAACCCTTAGAAGTAAAAAGTAGCAACAAACCTTAAATCAGATGTTTTGATTGACACCTAGCTATACACATGTGCGCACACACAAAAAACATAGCAGCAAATTTTTTTGGGGGGGAAGGTACACTGCTAAACACTAGTTTTGTTTACTGGTAAACATATGACACCAGCTCTGAAAATCTGTCCAACACAGGTAAAATAAAATGCACAATTATTTAGAGAAGTGTCTTTCAAATGTGCGAACAAACACATCTCTTTCATATATGAGCCACTGGGAGTAAAACAAAAACACGTAAGGTTGAAATTTTAAGAAAAAGGGGGGAAAAAAACAGAACTGGTTAGAAATAAGGTGTTTCCTGATTCAACTTTGGATTTGAAATAGCTAGTTAACAGAAAGGCACAACATCATAGTTTGGGGAAAAAAAGTCTTAATGCTGTGTATGAGAGCCTTCCCAAATCAGACAAGACACCCAGGGACAAACACACTTGCTTCTAATACCTGCAGTCCTCATTTACTAACGATCACAATTAGAACTCCCTACTGTCAGCCCAGAGCCTCTGCTTTACTTAGACTGAAAGGCAGGAAAGTGCTTGGTGGGAACAGGCTGAGAAACTTGGAAGCTTTAACTTCCTGTCTTGGGGATGGGGGTAGGGGAAGGGGACTGGGGGCTCTGCTACCAGCAGTTTGCTTGCTAAAGAGGTGACTCAGAAGCAAGCAGTGACATCCAAAGAATGCCATCACATGCAGGGTATTTGGAGGCCTGTTTAGGAGGATGTGATGGGAACAGAGAACTACTAGGAGGACCCAGTCCTAGGAACCATAAACTAATTTGAAGTTAGCTTTACTACTCTCCCAGATCCATTCCTCCTTTCTCATGCTATGCTGGACCATGCAAGTTGGCTCTCTTTTAAGCCATTCTAGTAGTAGAAAGTGCATATATTCCCATATAATACCCAGATGGAATAATGAGAAGCTTCTCCTCTCAGAAATCTCAGCACTCTAGGGAGGGAGCCTCCAGATTCCAGGTAAGCAAGTACCACTTCTTTTTCCACTGGAAGGAACACCAAATGAGGCAGCTTCATGCTATTCTCAAGAGCTAGGTAAGAAAGGTCTTGAAAGAGGTCCCTCTTCCATTCTCCTGCCCCACCTTGCTTCCAACAGACTTGAAAACCAGTTACCCCCCCCCAAAAGGCACCACAAGTATGTATTCTAATACAATAAAGGCCAACTTCTAAGTATTTGGCATATGGGGTAAGAGCATCAAGGAAGGAGTCCCTGGCTGAGGGTCATGCTTCCCCAGACAAATCACTCTCTTGATTAGGCAGCCATTCCAACTATTCCTGGATAAAGGCCACTTTGGGCTATTTAAAGGAGGTAACCTGGATGAAGAACTGACTCCCCTGACTCCCCCCAGCCTCAATATCACTGGCCCCTTCTTTTCCCAAAAGAAAGTTTCATTTGGCTGATTTCACATTGTAACAGTGAAAACACAAGCAGGAAAAGATTATTTTTTCTTCTTTTTTTTGGTATCAAAAAGACCCAAAGGAGTTACTTTCAGGCCGTTAGGCAACTACTACAATAAGAACCTACTCTTCTTAAATCTTAGACATTATATCTGAGAAATGGACTAGTTTTGGAAGCAGCAAGGTATTATCATGCCTCTTTCAGGAATAAGTCAGTATCTTAATCCTTACTTATCGTAAATTGGTAGTCCCCCAAGGATCAACAGGATAAATAGCTTGTGGAGTTTGCACTTCTCTACAAAAAAGAGAGAACAGAAGGCTGAGCACCTGGAAACTGCCCAGTAGCTAGACCTTCTGGAAATTTGTTCAGTATTTTTAAGGATGATGTCCCATCCTTATCTATACCACCCCCTTGTCCTACATCTACATTGAAAGAAGATGAACCAGCCATGGTGGTAGCATTAAGCCTCTTTTGTGTTTGGTCCCAATTTCCCAATCTGGGAAAGGATTATACTGCCAGTTTCGTAAAGGGGGCAGAACACCCCAGAGCACACAGGCAGGTTAACAGACGACCTGAAACACCTCCCACTAACCTAGCCAGTGGCCCTTTACAAGCTTATCACCTCATAAGCACACCACAACACCCAAAACATGGACAGAAAGGATGTTAGTACTGCACATCTGTACAACAGCGGGGATGTATCTCAACAAAACATCCATTTCCAGAACTGATTAGTTGTAGATTCTCTTAGTGGCTCTTGGGGGCAATTAATGTGACCAAGTGACTGGGACCCTTTGGGTCATCCTTTTCATATCAAGAAAAAAAGGATCGGTCACTTTTTTTGGGGGGGGAGTTCATCCACGTACCCTATTGAGAAAAAATCCTCATAAACATACTTCTAAATCTAAGATCCAGGATCAGTGCAAGTGTTGACTGAAATGAACCTATTCCCTCTTTCTACTCAGTCATTAACCCAGGAAACTCAAGAATAACTTTAAGGTGAAATGAGTAGACAGAGGGTGTCATCTAGAACTACACAGGACAAGAGCTCTTAATGTTCATTGCTCCTAGCACTTTCTTGAAGGTTTCTTGGCTAATGTTCACCAACAGGAAATGGTTTGGGGATGGGGGATATTGTAGCAGTTAACTCGGGGCTGAGGCCACAGAAAGAGAAAAGGAGATACCCTATCCTAGGGACACTCCGCCACGTTCCTTTCAATATACTTCATTCTACTCTCGGGTCACGGTCCCTAGCTTTCAGATACGTAGGAGCAAGGTTAGTCACAGCAAATTCCTCACTTGCCTCTGTGACTTTGACTGCTACTTTGAGGAGAAAAGAGATCACATGAGGCCTCTAGGCTCGCTCACCCACCTATCGCACCTTCTAGACTGACACCAGCATAAAGCAATGTAAAACAACACCAAGCAGTCCCACGAGGTCTCTTCAAGAGATAAAGGACCGTATAAAAGGATGTTCCCATCTTGGGGACTGGAATGGTTAACCCACACAAGGAGAAGACTGCATGACAAATTAACCTCCTTTGCTCTTAGGTAACTGGATAAAGTTCACTGTTGCCATGTGGTGGCAAGAGAAGCAGGGCAGACAACAAACACAGAGAAAATGAAACATTCTTAAGAACCTGTTTCTTTCCTAAGACAGCCACTCATCCAGAGCCATTTGGCCCAACCCACTTTCCCATCAACTGACTGAATAAATGAAGGGGTGGTGGGGTGGTGGTGTCTAAATCAGCCAGCAGAAGCTGAAGCAAGCACTACCCACCTGTCACATAGGTCTATCTAGGTCATACTAAATAACAACAAGGAACTGGAGATTTGGTCCCCTTTCCTTAATGCATCCATCCATGTTTTATATACACACATAGGCTGGAATAAAGGTCAGGGTGGTGCCTGATTGAATCCCCTATATGTTTACTAATTCAAAGGAAGTAACAAAGACTGAAATCTCAGCTCTACCTTCCCAGCTCTGTCTTCCTTTGGGCAGGCTATGGGTCACTTAAAAAAACAGATACCATGACAAAAAAAAAAATCAAAAAGAGGATACTATGAAAGGCTAAGAGGTCCACTTGGAGGAGAAGAGACCCTGGCACCTGGATTGTACATAAGACAGGCTGACAGCTTCAGTAATGTCTCAGGTTGAAAAAGCCAACACTGGTCGGGGACTCTTTCACAGTGACTGTGATAAGGTTTGCAGTTACATCTGTGACAAAGACATGCTCAATAAGGCTTCGGGTTGGCTTCCAGTCCTGGCTGGTTTGAATGGAGACAGACAGGTTTTGTCCCGTGGTGCCTGAGAAAGAGGCAGAGTCCCGTTCTGAGTCAGTGCTACTACTCTCCTCACCGGTGCTCATCTCGGACAGGGCTGTTGTCTTTCGGGTCTCACCTGTGACCAGGTGGCTCTCCTGCCCAGTGGGTTTGGAATTGCTTTTCATTGTGTCCCTCTTGTTTCCAGGGGTGGCAACAACTGCACCCCTTGCTACCAGTTTCTCACCTTTGTTGGTATCAGGGAGAACTCCAGTCCCTCTGGGGGTACCACTCCCCACTCCTTTGCCAATAGAGGGACTGATATTACTGGTGGTCTTCAGGTTGGCAGCTGAGGGATATAAGGGAAGCACAGCACCCCCTGTAGCTCCATTTTTCATGCTCTGCAAGTTCAAGGCCTGGAGGTTCAGCTCTTGGTTTGAAGCTGGTTGAGTGCCAATGGAGGTCAGTCCTACTTTGCCTCCATTGTGTAGGCTTGGGGTCCTACCCGACTTCTGTTCAGCACTCCCAGAGCTAGGGGCTGTAACAGCTCTGGCTCCTGGCATGTTGAGTCCTAGCTCCCCCTTCTGGTTTCTTACTTTCAGGTCCAGTCCCAAGCCACACTTATTAGAGGCCTGGGCTTTCAGTGCCAATCTGTTGGGTGCCTCAGCTTGGCTCTGTGTCATTCTATTCATGTAGTGCATGATGGAGCTCTGCCAGCTGATACTTCCTTGGTTGGGGCTGTCAGTCATGCCCTTCATCAGGCTAGTATAGTTTTCAGTGGCAGATGAGCCACTGGGGCCACCAGATGTCTCCTTGGCATGGGCTTTGAGGGCAGCGAGGCTTGTCACAGGGGCAGTAAGTGAGGATGGCAGTTTGCTTGATGGTCCCAAATCCTTTCGGGTAGTTTTTAGCCCTTTTGGCAGACTCACAGGTCTCCTGGCTGCCTTTTGTTCTGGGGGAAGAGGCTTTCGACCCCTCTTTTTTCTGATGGGATCCTTCACCTCAGGTTTGGCCACCAAGATCTGAGCTTTTTTCTGAGGTACTGGATGGGTCTCTCGGCCCCGGGGACCTCTTTTAGCCTCCAAGTCACTATCATCATCTTCATCAGAGGAGGAAGAAGAGGTAGAGGAAGAAGAAGAACTGCTGGATTTGGATTTTGATGGCATATCTGGTTCCTATAAAAGAGGGGAAATAAATTATCAACCTCCCCATTACTTAGTTCATAGTAGCGCCTCTCTGCAGAGCTCAGTAGATCTTAAGAGTTGGTATAACCTTTACCCTTCATTATACAGAAATGGAAACAATGGGAAAGGGGAAGGAATTCACCTAACTTCTTTTATACAAGGCTATGTAAGGCACAAAAGGAAGGGATACTGACTCACATTAACCAGCAAGTGGTAGGGTCTGGAGAGGTGGCAGGCTCTTTCCTTTCCCTCTTTCAGTTAAAAGCTTTATTTACTAGGCCTAGTTTTCCTATGATTCCATATTATTAATTAATTCACTCATCAAACTGATTAGCCTGGTAGTCGTCAGTCAAAACCAGTTAGCTAATAATTAATTATCAAAAATTATTAAATCATTTATTAAATTGTTATTAAAATTAGTAAAATTCCAGGAACCCACATCCTATTACCCACTTCTTCTAGGGTCTTTAGCTCTTAAACTCAAGTCTCCAATTGTACATGAAGATATAACTTCTCAAATACATTGTGTTCCATTTGCTAAGCCCCTGACCCCTGATTCCCAAAGCAGAAATCCCTAACTCCTTTTCTCTTGTCCCAATGTTTGGCTCTATGACAGAATCTAAAAAACAAACAAAAAACTGCACCCTTTTGAGGGAATAGAGCGTGTAGGCTCACAACAATTTAGTCACCTGTCTTGAAACAGCCACTAATCTGATAAAACTGGGAGAACCATAACTAGCTCAAGCACTTGGAACTTTTGTGGGGATTGTTTTTAATTAAATTTTTTTTTTCAATCAATGAAAATCTGCCTCCTCTCCCTCCTACTGAGAAAGAAAAACGAAACTATTGTTACAAACACGTATAGTCAAGCAAAACAAATTGTCCGCGTCCAAAAAAAAAAAAGGTCTCAATATGAACTCTGAAGGACCTGGCACTTTATAAAAACACTTTTTTTTGACCACTTTTTCACTGCAACTCAACCTATGTGTAAATCCATTACAGAGAGGGCTAAGGGAGGTATAGTGTACTCCAAGGCCTTCTTTTAATTGCCATTCAGGAGTTGTGGCCTTATATAGAAGACTAAAGCTATGAATATCCTACCAAAGTTTTTAAAAAAGGAAAAACTATGCAACAGGATCACTCAGCCTTTCTCAGAAGAAAGAGGCTTCAGCCAGAGGCCCATGACTGTTGAGCTCTCAAGACAGCAGTCACTGATTTCAGGAAGTGTCAGCAAGGTCATTTTTACTGGAGACTAGAGAAAGACACCAAATAGTCTGACCCACATCTAAAACTGGAGAACTCTGATCTTCTGTCTATAAATTCTCTTTGAGAGGGCAATAACAAGATGACAGATAACTCAAGTCTATGGGATTAGACCTTCCATCTCTCTTCCCTAAGTGTGGGTAGGAATTGTTATACATGCAATATTCAACACAAAGTTCTCTATCTGCCTTGACTGGCTGCTCTCTTTTCTTAAAGTCCTCCTGGAGTCTGTTTCTGACTTCCTTCTCACTTTGCCAAGTCTTTGTAGTTCATGATCCACTGCTGGACAAAACAGAAGGGAGACCACATTCTTAGTATTATGTGATTTTCTGGGCCACAAAGGACTTTAGAAATCATATTCTCTATTCTTTGGTCACTGTGGAACAGCCCTGGGTCAAAAGTTTAGAGTTTTGGTCTGCTCAAACAGGTGAGTCTATGGGTGGTCTAGAACCCCAGGATCTTTCTAATCTGCCTTGTTTCCTCTTCCTCACCTTCAGAATCAGGGACTTTGTGCATAGTAAACAGCTCTGTGTACTTTGCTATCAAATAGAGGGAAAACAGCAGTAGCAAAAACCAAAGCCAATATTTCCCCCCCTTTTTTCTTGGAGGGGAGGGTCAGAAGAAACGGAAGAGAGCAAAATATTATGTGGTTTTCTAGTGCCCAGGCCCAAGCTCTGTGTTGTCTCTTCCCGATCTAAGGAAAAGTTTTGAAGCAGGACAAAAGTGAAGAAGTAACTTCACATTCCTGGGATCCCAGGCTGAATTTTTGTTCAAACTTTCTGTATTTTACTCGAATTTCTGCTAAAAGTCACACTCCACTCTCTACTGCCTTGCAAGGAGAGTGTTATAAGATGAAGAGGGGAAGGGTGTGGAGTGAAGGCAGGGAAACAGTATAGGAGAATTGAAGATAACTCGCTACGAACCTTGATCTTGGAGCGCCTGCTACAAGCTGACACCACCACATGCTTCCTTGGTCTGCCCCTCGGACGCTTGCCTCTCTTCCGGTTCTGCACCTCCTTATCATGCTCCCTAAAAACACAACATGGCCAGTTCTACTTACCAACCCCTCCTAGTTTACCATGACTTCCTTACTCCTAAACTCTCACCAGAAAGCCTCCTCCCCCACCTCTAGGGGACAGGTTTAGAGTCAGTTCCCAACTACTCTGAAAGTGAAATATCTGAGGACCCCTTATCCCATCATCTACTTAGAGCTTACAGCAAGTAGCCTCTAGATCAAATGAGATAATATTTATAAAGCACTTAGCACAGTGCCTGGCACACAGCAGGTGCTATATAAATACCTATTCCCTTCTCTCGAAAGCCAAGGAAGACCAATAGATTAACCCCATTTATATTCCTCTATTTCCCCATTCTCAGGACCATGCTCTTTTTTCCCCCTAAACATTTTGTTATACTGTACCCTAGACCCTAATGTAAAATAGCGCAATTTCATTAACCCAAATCTAGAAAAGGCCATCAAGAGTCAGTATCTATAATACAGCTTTAAACAACTGTCTAGTGAACAAAGGTTACAAAGGATGGATGAAAAGGAGCTATTAATTCCCTAACAGAAACAGCAACAACTTGCCCCTTATCATAGATTGAGAGCTGAAGAAAGTCTGGTAATTAAATCAGCAAACATGAATTTCACAATCACCCAGATGGGTTCAAATTTGCCACTTACTACTTGTGTGACCTTGGGTAAGTTCCTTTCAGGGACTTCTACTCATTTGTAAACTAGATGATTTCTAAGGTTCTTTCAAGCTCTCAATCTGTAATTCCATGATCTCTAAAGTCCTTTACAAGTCTGTTACTCTAAAGCACACCAGAGAGCTGGTTCCTTGATTATCTCATCTCCTAAAAGACAGAGAATAGGATCCCAGGGCCATCTTCCTTACTGACACAGCTTCCAAGGCTGAATGTCATTCTTTCTGGATCTGTTTCCCACTCCTTTCCAAGATACAAATTCAACAGATTCACTAAGCTATTCTTTTTGTAGGCAAATCATCATCAGTTTTAAAAAAATTCCCCCTAAAAGCAATCTGGTGCAGTGAACACAGCACTGGTCTGTAGTCTGAAAATCTGGTTTTGAGTCTTGCTTGTGCGACCCTAGGTAAGTCACTTTAACCTCTCAGTGTCTCATTTTAAAACTTTAAGCGGTAGGACAAGTGAAGACTTGCATTGGTAGGAGCTTCCTTAGTGGGAATGACATCCATATTAATGAAATCCTAGGTGTAGTCTTAAAAAAAGGTTCCCAGAGAGCTCTCAGGGAGAAGGCAGGCAATAGAGTATAATGCATTTGCTATTCCTAGAGCAAGAATCTTTTTGTTTCCTAGATGGTTCCAAGATACCTCAGGCCTTACCATCTACCTACCTAGCAAAGCACAGAAATTTACCAAAACACAAATTTTCTATTTTTCTTTGTTAAAGCAGCCCATTCTTCCTCAAATCTATAGGATATGAATTATACATCTCGGGAGACTGTTGGGAGATCTTTCACATTCTGTTAACATGTTCTTAACAATCCCTTCTAAACCTGGTTATTCTGCAAGTGACTATTCTCCCATTCCCAACCATATTTTACTTCCCATCTCTCAAAAGTCATGACTCATATGAGAAGACCACAAAGAACCAGGCTGAGCTGAGGGGAAGAAGGGGAAGGGGTGGAAAATAGATGCAGCCCGAACTACACAGAACAATGTTGTCAGATTGACACCAGCTGTGAAAGCTTTTGGAGTACCTAATTTATCAAGAAACCGTCTCTATCAACAGGGCAATCACTTGCAAGTAGGAAAGTTATTAAACCTATCCACAAATGATTGCCACATATCGCTACCCATGGGTTTGTTCACATTTCTCTCAACTGTACAATTTCTGTAACAGCAACACTCAACACAGTGTGAACATTCCTCCAGTTCTGATCTAGAGGAGGGGCACACTTTTCTTCCCCCTCCCATTTTCCCCTGGAGAGTCACTTGCAATGCATATTCCTGAACTCCGGTTTCCTGCCTAAAAATAGAGACATCTAGAATTACAGAGACAAACACATCTAACCCCAGGGACAGGAGAGAAGGCCCCACAGTGCTCACTCAATATCATATGCTTAACAGTCAAAAGAAAAATAAATGTGCTGTTCTTTATATAAGATGACACAATAGGGCATGTACTTTGAGCTTTTTCCAGCAGTTATAATGGCACATTGGCCCATCCATTCTCTCTTGCCTATTTTCCTTTTGACCAATGGCACTCATTTGTTAAGACAGCTAGCTTAGAAAAGAAGGCAGTTTTATTCTGTATAAAGCTAACAGAAATTCAACCCATGAGCTACTTCATTTGTACCATGGACTAATCAATCAATAGATCAAAACAGACTATTCAAAACCCTTGTTTTGAATAGGTAAAGAATTGGAACAGTCAAGTTCACAATTGTTATAAGACAGCCTAATTTTTTAGCAGTTACCCACCAGATAGCAAGTTACATGAGGGGATTAACTGTATGTTATTTAAAATTTGTATCTTCCCTAGGTCCAGGCATACCTTCATACATAGTAGGTACACTTTTCTTCCTGGTTTTTTTTTTTTTGGCTAGGCAATGGGGTTGACTTGCCCAGGGTCACACAGCTAGTAAGTGTTATGTGCCTGAGGCCGCATTTGAACTCAGGTCCTCCTGAATCCAGGGCCAATGCTCTACCCACTGCCCCACCTAGCTGCCACCATAGTAGGTGCACTTAATAGGATCTTAGGACCTTGAGCTGGAAGAGACCAGCCTAATTCTCATTTTCATGGATAAGGAAACTGAGACACAGAGAGATCAAATTACTTGTCAAAGGTCAAACAAGTGACAGCTGGAATTTGATTTCAGGTTTCCTGACTCCAAATTCAGTGCTCTTCTGTCAATACCACATTGCTTTTACATGTTTGTTGAACTGAGTTAACTGAGTGCTTATGGGTGTCTTGAGGTTCTTGGGTGCTATGGGAGATACTAAAGAAATATAACATAATCCCTGTCCCTCCAAGACATTTACTGAGTACTACAAGGATCAAGATCAAAGTCTCAAGGCACATCATGTGCTTTGAAAACATTAATACATTAAGGCACATCACATACCAGGAACCCTAATATTAAGACGAAAATACCACTAGATTTCCTCCCTCAGGCCCCCCTGCACCACTGCATTATGGGACAGGTTTAGCTCTTCCCCCGCCCCCACCCCCAAAGAAATAAAAAATATGTTAACTTGCTCACTTCTTCTGGAAGGCTAGGAGCAGTCTTGGATCAAGGATATTTTCCTCTGGCTCCCAGCTGTTGTGTCTGGAAAAGCAAAGCATTGGGCATGATAACACACACAGGTGACATAGGTGAAAAAGACTGCTCACTGACAGGCCACAACAGGGCCTTCTGTATTTTAACGAAGATTTTCACAACACCAAAACTTGATGAACTTTAAGAAACAAATTCAGTGAAAACATTATCACTGACATGGAGCTTAAGTTGTAACTGCAATCCCTAATTATTTCTCTATCAAATGAAAAAGAAAACTTTTATTAAAAATAAAAATGACTTCTTTTCAGAGGAAAAAAATGTAATTGTATCCAGTGAAGGAAAGAAACCCATAACCCCCCCAGCCCGGACACAATGAGGGGGTTGCAAAAGATTTTATGGAAGGCCTAGAACCTGTAAATAAGGTGAGGAACGTTTGGCATAAAAATCAAACAAAATGGTTGAAGAATTAGGCACAACGATTTGGTCACAACACGAATGTATGGTGCATGGGAGACCGCAAGTCAGGCAAAAAAAAAAAAACCCAACCCATTAAGAGAAAGGGAGGGAAAAATTAAATAAAGAAAACGAGGAAAAGAGTCTTTAGGGAGCAGCTGGGCATAAACAGAAAGACTTTTCGAGGGATGCCAAATCCCTTTCTCGTTTAAAAAACAACACACTATACATCAATGGAAAGCTCAGGTTACAGCAGGGAAAACATGGAGAGAGGGGTATAGAGGGGTGTGCGCGTCTATATGTCTAGAGAATCTGTATTCCCATTTCTCTCCCCAGTGCAAGTTTGGCAGTTGGGATTTCTTCCCTCACCTAAGCCCAGTGAAAGGGCAGAGGAAAGGTTAAGTGGTGTGAGAGGGGAGAGGAACACAGGAGAAGGGGTAGTGGTGTTGCAGTAGTAAGGGACTGTTTCTCAAAAAGAGTAGAGCTAAGGAGGGAGGGGGGGAAGTCAAGGAGGAGCTAGAGCAGCATGCAACAAATGGGGATGGGGGAGGTAGAAGCGCTGGGGGACAGTCGATGTACCAGGAACAGAGCTCAGCGCAGTAGGAGGGGAGATCCCCAAGCCCAGCTTATTTGTAAACAAAAGGTTAGCCCCCCTCCCCCCTCTCCCCCGAGGGCTCAGCTCTAGCTTCCCCTTTTAACTCCTCCCGGAAACCACAAGCTGTAAAGACCCCGTCCCTCCCCCCCCAAAAAAACTTTCTAGGTTTCGCCCCTCAGCCCCAAGCCGCCCCCAGATCATTCCCGTAGCCCACCCCCGCCCCCAATCCCCGAGCCTGGGGTGGGTGAGGGGCGGGGGCTTCGAGGGAGCTCGGAGCGCACGGAGAAGTTGCCCGGGCAGGAGGCTGGGAGCTCATTGTTCTCGGACTCACTTGGAGGACCATCCTCGCCACTTCACCAGGTACTCCAGCTTCCCCTGTAGGGAGGAGAGGGCGAGAAGGAGCAGGGTTAGGAGGGCGCTCGGGACAGTGAGAGGAGGAGGGGGGCAAAGAGGGTGTGGAGCCAGGGAAGGAGGGAGTTCGGCCGGCGCCTGCAACACACACACCCACCCACCTTACGGAGCCGCTTGCTCAGGATGCACTCGGCGGCGAAGACCTGCTCCCCGACGCTGCTTAGCTCCTCCATCCCGCCGCAGCCGCCGCCGCCGCCGCCGCCGCCGGGAGCGAGGACACACAAAAAGGGGAGCCCGGGGGCCGCGCGCGCGCGCGCCTACCGCGCGCTCTCTGCGGCTCCGCCGCGTTCCCCGCCCCTCGTGTTCACCCCTTCCCCTCTTCTCTCTCCTCCCCAGTCCTGGGCGCGCCGAAACCCCGCAAAACAAAGCACCGCCCTCCTCCGGGCGCGCGCGGTCTCTTTCCTACCGCTCTCCCCGCCCGCACAAAGAGCTCCGCCTTCTACCCCCCTCAGGGGCCCGCGCACCTCCTCCCCTTTCCTTTCCTTCCTCTTCGCCTTCTCCCACGCCCACCCGGGCTTCCAAAATTCCGAGCAGGCCAATGGGAGGGTAGGGCGGGAGGGGGAGCGCCCGCTCAGGGCTGCAGCTGCAGCTGCCGCTCCTGCTCCTGCTCCTGCTCCAGCTCCGACTAAGAGGGGACTGGGCATTGTTTGGGGTGGGTCTTTCTGCCCTCAGTCCCCTCTCCCGCGAGGGCCCTGGGTTCGTCTCTCTCCCTTCTTGGTGGGTGCCCCGGGATGTACCAAGGTGAATGAGAAACTGAGGCTTCCCGGGGGGTACAAGACTGGGGAACAGGTAGCTCCCAGGGCCCCGGGGGTGGGGGGTGGGATGTCGTTTAGGTTGAGAAGAGGAAGGAAATGCTGACCCGGACTGGGTAGGAAAATGACCCCATCTTACACTACTGAGTCTAGCTTTGCTTACGGGTCGTCCTGAACTTCATTCTTAAGTTTGTGTTATAAGTAAAAAGCTATTGTTTCGAGACTCCCAAACAGAAGTCAGGAACAGCCCTCTGCATTAGGGTGTGCTTTGGTTGCTGACACTTCGCCTGTCCTGCAGAGTCCAGCCCCTAAGCCAGCCCTTGTGTTTCCCTTCACTTTATTCCACTTAACGATCCCCGCCTTTTTCTTTTATAAAGGGGTGTTGGTGGGAAGGGAACCACTTTTTTTTGTTTGTTTCCAGTAGGAAACCAAAAAAGTAAGAAAAAGCCGAGTCCCTTTTTCGATTCCATTTTTCTAAATTAAGTGACCTAAGTCTCTAAAGGTTGAGAGAATGCTTTGGTATAAAGTCTGAAAATGCAACAGCCTTATAGAAAAGGGTTCTACGATAAGTTTCTTTCTACCGACAAATATGAAAGACGGAAATTACCTCCATAAATAAAAATTTCCGGGGGGTGCTTGAGAAAAAAGAAAAAACCAAGCTATCTTAACAGTTTGGTTGAAATGGCATTTGAAAAATTGGTTCTTTCTAAGAGAGTCTTAGTTACCTGTAAGGACTGGATTCAAAGTGGGATGGATTTATTCTTTAGACACTGTATGTGTAAATATGAACTATGGCTTATATTACAAATATGCACCCATGGGGAGACTCAGACTGAGCTTTTTCTTCCGAGTCAGTTCCTCACTTAAGGCTAGTGTTTGACATGATGACCTTGAACCTTCTCTTCAAGAGGAAAATTCACTTGCTATTGAATAACGAAATGACCGTTGAAGTCATTTAAGTCTTGAGTCAAGGGGGAAAAAATGCAACATAAAAGGAGGAACATGTTATTAATAACTTTATTCACATGAATACAGTTTAACTCAATGAAAAATGCATTCTCTGTTTTTGTGTTTATCTCCTGAACACATCTTCAAAAACTGTTTTCTGTTGAAGAAATCAAAGGAACCCATTGTTTTCAAGGAGTCGGAGTAAATAGAATAATATGCATTAAAGCCATATTTGTAAAGGATTCTGCAGAAAAAAGCAAAAAAAATGTCTTTTGAAGAGGCCTACTGTAGAAAACACTAAAAAGATATGAGCCAGCCCTTCAGCTCATCAAGTATACTTTAGGGCTGGCTAAGTTGCATTTGACACACTTGAAAGAGCTTATTTGATCTGGCAAACAGATATTGTAAAGGAGGCAGAGAAAAAAAAAACAACTGAAGAAGGTGGTAGGATGAGTGTTTGCTTATTTGGAAAGAAACAACCCAACAACAACAAAAACAAATAACCTTCACATTTAGCACAGTTGCTAGGCTTGATAAATCATCTGTGAAGTTAAAGGTAGGTAAAATTGAACATTTTGAGTTAGTTTGTTATCATGTATCTGTGGAGCTCCAGCGAGAGGTTCTTGTAGTGCTGAGAGCAAAGATGTATTTTATGTAATTCTAGAAGTGGTTGGATCAGTTTCAACTCACGATTTCTTAAAGAATTCACCTTTGAGGTGAGATTAGTCACAGGAAGTTTCTAGTACAAGGAGAAAATGGCTTTTCTGTTTGAGGATACAGTATCCTGGGGTCTCTGGATAGTTTTATTTTTTTAAGAGCTTAAAGTAATTTTTTTGTAGCTTGAGGTAGGAGGGAGGAAGAAGAGAAAAGCTCTTGAAATTGATTCAAATACATTTAAAACACAATTTCCTAGAAATATTAATATACTATGTATATTATTAATATAAATATTTTGAATTGGTCTGTTGGATAAAAATGTATTTTGGTAATTTCTGTAAGAGTATAAATAAAGCAGTTTTGGCTTCAGTGAAATCATCAGATAAATGTAACACTTGGCATAAGCCTAGTATTCTTAAAGAATCTTTGCAATAATATGATGAAATAAGCAGATGTCTGGAATGTTCTTGACTGGTTAGGTATATGTTAGAATAGTAGGTTAGGTATATCATAGATTTTGTCTCATGTTTGTGAATGTCATTACATTTCAAAGAATTATAAATACAAATAAGCACACTAAAATTTTATAAGTTAGATAATAAGTGAAAAAGGATCACAATGGATGGTTAAATCACATTGAACATAGAAGTAAATTAATTAATTAGCTAGCTAATCAATCTTTAAGGCCAAACAGCCTAGTCACAATGCATATATGTGTGTGTGTATAAATACCTATAAAAACATATTATAACAGAATAATTAGGGGAAGGTAAACTAATATTAATGATGAATTTAAAACCACTTCTTTCACATCCTTCTGCCTAGCATGGTGCCTGAGACATGTAATAGATACTTAATAAGCACTTACTGATTGATTATTACAAATACTAATTCATTAATGGTCAAAATAGCCCTTATAACAGATAATTTAGCACTTATAGATGGGAAAGCTAAGGTGCAGAGAAAAGACTTGCATGACCCTCATCGAAATTAATGGAAAAGGCAGGTATTCCATGCAGGTCAATAGCCACTAGTATCACACCAAGAAGAGGCAGCTAGGTGGCTCAGTGGATAAAGAAAGCACTGCACATGGAGTCAGGAAGACCTGAATTCAAATGTGACCTCAGAAACTGAATAGCTGTGTGACCTTGGGCAAGTCATTAAACCTCTGTTGGCCTTAATTCACTGAAGAAGGAAATGGCAAACCAATCCAGTATCTTTGTCAAGGAAAACCTCAATGAACAGTATGGTCCATGGGGTCATCAAGAGAGTAGGACATGACTGAACAACAGCAATAATACCAAGAGCACAAAGTATATATCGCAAAAAATGGACAGAAGAGATCAGAAGTTCAGAAGGAGAGAGAAAAGCAGGACAACACAGAAACTATTGAATCTATTATATATAATTTATTTTAAACACATGCTCTATGTAATAAAGATTCATGTAATCTTCTATTCTTTGTATAGGAAACACCATGTTTTCTGATATTTCTCAAGTTATGAATAATAAAAAAATTTTAATGATAATATTTATGATAAATGAAATTTAAATGCTAAAAATAAATTTTAAAATATTAGATACTTCTGGTCAATATAGGTACATAAATGGAAGTAGACAAGTCAGCTACCACATACCTTCTCCAGCAAAAATCTAAAAATCATACCAGATAAAATAATGATAAAGAAATTCAGTGATAAACTATAGGGAGTTACTTTTCCCTTCCCTAAACTGTGCAAAAATGGAGCTAACCACTGAATGGCAGTAAGAATGAGGGCTCTAACAAAGCCAACACTAGCCAGTGCAAATAAGATGGTAGCCTCCCAAGCTCAACCAGAGATGGACCAGAGACATGCCAAAGACACATTTAACCTTCAAGAAGACTATAGTTGAAGGCAGCAAGAATGGAGGACTCTTCAGAGAAAGCCCCAGGGTAGATGTAAACCCACAGAGGGGACCTTGGAAGCTAATGGAATTGGTAGTGATTAGTGTGAGCATGGCAATACTCAGTCTGAGACAGCTCACCTCTGTGGGCCTTGAGGTCCATAACACTTTGCCCCGAGAAGCCAGGGACAGCCCTGAAGATTTAAATGAGAGCAACCAGGGCAAGACCAAACAGGGCCAGCCACTCCACACAAAAGCACAGCAGTAGGGAGAGCTTAGTGCTAGCACAAAGCCCCATTTCAGGACCTAAAAGTGGAGAGATGAATAAATCAAAGAAAACAAACACCAGTATAAAAAAATTAACACAAATCTAGAGATCCTCCAAAAGAAGGGAAAGTAGCTTCATAATAGCTGCATGCAGAAACTCTATGGAAAAAATAGATTTTCCATGAAAACTGCATGAATATCCTGAAGAAATGAAATGAGAGGAAAAAAATTAAATACATGCTGTGGAGGAGAGAATTAGAAGAAGAATGATAGAAACAAAATGGTAAATGTTACCTAAGAAATGAACTCCCTGAAAACTAGAATAGATCAAACAAATCAGTGACTGAGAAAGCAAAAAATATTAGAACAAAATCAAAAGACTGAAGAAGTAGAAGTGAATGTAGAGTATCTGATATAAAAAACAACTGGCTTAGGAAACAGGTCAAGGAGAGAGAATTTAAGAATCATTGTACTCTCTGAAAACCATAATAAAAAAAGCATAGATATCATATTTCAAAATAAATGGAAACTGCCCAGATTATTAGAATCATAGAGCAAAATGAAGGAAGAAAGAATCCACCAGTCACTTTCTGAAAGAAATCTCAGTAGGAAAAGACCCAGTAATAGTTAGTATAGTCCACATCCAGAGCTTTCTTATCAAATAAAAAATAACTGCAACCTCTCAGGAAGGAGTTCAAGTACTGAGGAACCATAGTCAGGATCATACAAGACCTGGCAGTTTATGCTATAAATAAGAGAAAGTCTTGGAATACAATATTCCAAAAGGTAAAAAAGAATGAGTTTGCAATGAAGAATATACTTGCTCTTACTGAGTATAAT